GGAAGAAAATGCCAAAGAAGGCCTACATTACTCAGGAGGAAAAGGGACTGCCAGAACACAAGCCTATGAAAGACAGGTTGACGCTCATGTTTTGTAGTAATGCTAGTGGGGATTTCGAAGTGAAGCCATAACTAGTGTACCATTCTGAAAATCAGAGAGCGTTCAAGAAAAACATTGTTATGAAGAGTAAACTGTGTGTATTTTGGAAAGCTAATAGTAAGGCATGGGTCACGAGGGAAATTTTTGTCGAGTGGTTCAACAAAGTATTTGGCCCCAGTATGAAGAATTACCTCCTGGAAAATAAATTTGATCTCAAGTGCCTCAGGCTAATGGACAATGCACCTGCTCATCCTCCAAACTTGGATGACCTAATTCTAAAGGAGTATGGGTTTATCAGAGTAAAGTTCTTGCCACCTATTACCACTCCTCTCCTCCAGCCCATGGACCAGCAGATCATTTCAAACTTTAGAAAAACTCTACACCAAAGCAATGTTTAAAAGGTGCTTTAATGTGACCTCAGACACTCACCTGACCCTTAAGAGAATTTTGGAAAGATCACTTCAGTATCCTCCATTGCATAAGCCTTATAGGTAAGGCTTGGGAGGGAGTGACCACCAGGACTTTGAACTCTGCTTGGAAAAAATTGTGGCCAGATTGTGTCCACAAGAGGGATTTTGAAGGGTTTGGGGCCGACCCTGACGAGCCTACGGCAGTTGTGGAATTTATTGAGGCATTGGGGAGTTCCATGGGGTTGGATGCGAGTTTGGAGGATGTGGAAGAGTTAGTGGAGGACCACAACGAAGAGCTAACCACTGAGAAGCTGCAAGGGCTTCAACTGGAACAGAAACAGACTGCAGTTCAGAATACTGCTTTAGAGGAGGAGGAAGAGAGATGGAAGAAATTGCCTTCTTCAGAAATTAAGGAGATTTTTGAAATGTGGAGTAGGATGGAAAGATTTATGGAGAAACATCACCCTGACAAGGCTGTTGCAAGCCATGTCGGAAACATGTACAGCGACCCAAAGTCTTGGCCCATTTTAGGAAAGTTTTAAAGAGACGCCAGAAACAGAGCTCTCGACACTTTTTTTTGCGAGACAGGACTCCAGTGACTCTCAAGCTGGTCCTAGTGGCATTAAGAAACAGAGAAGAGAAGTGACCCTAGAAAAGAACTTGGTACCAGAGGTCTTGAAGGAAGTGGATTCCCCTTCCAAACAGTAAATAATCCAATCTCTTTCCTCCTCTAGTCTTCCATACACTAAGAAGAATCACCAATAAAGGTAAGTGTTATGCTGTTAATGTTTCATTCATCATGTCCCATTGTATTGTGTATGTGCTACATCTATATCTCATGTAAAAAAAATTTTTTGCTTTAATGCTTCTGCGTGTCTGGAACGGATTAATTGTATTTACATTATTTCTTATGGGGAAAATGGTTTCGAAAATCATTAATTTCAATAATAGTCACACTCTCTGGAACGGATTAATTACATTTCCCTACACAGAAACCAATGGTACATGCAAAATAAACAATAATTAAATGCCACTTAGCTATATTGTGGACTTGTTGATGAGTGATGTGCCAGGAGCAGGGGAGATTCAGGTGTTCTATTGTTTGGAAGGGAAATCCCCTTCCATAGAGACTTCACGTACCAAGTCCTTTGCTGTAGTTACCTCCCTTCTTGGTTTTTTAATGTCACTAGGACCAGCTTAAGAGTCACTGGACTCCTCTCACACAAAATATCTGTCCAGAGAGCCGTTTCTCACGTGCCCTTAGGATTTTCCTAAAATGGGACACACGAGTGACATTGTACATGTTGCCAATACGGCTTGCAACAGCTGTGACAAGATAAAATTCATCTATAAATGCTTGCAGCTTTGTAAACACTGTACACATTTCCTTAATCCTTGATGAAGGCAACTTCCTCCGACTCTCTTCCTCCTGCTCTGAAGCACATTCCGGAGCTGTGATGTCTTGCTGTTGCACCTCAAGCTCTTGCAGCTCTGCAGTGGTTAGTTCTTCATCGTCGTTCTGCACCAACTCTTCCACTTCCTCGCCACAAACCTTCAACCTCATGGACTTCCCCAATGACACAATAGATTCCACAATTAGCATAGACTCCTGAGGGTTAGCCCCAAACCCTTCAAAATCCCTCTCTTCTACACATTCTGGCCACAATTTTTTCCAGAGTTCAAAGTCCTGCAAGTCACTCTCTCCCAAGCCTTACCTATAAGGTTTATGCAACTGAGGATACTGAAGTGCTCTTTCCAAAACTCTCTTATGGTCAATTCTGTGTCTGAGGTCACTTCAAAGCACTTTTGAAACACTGCTTTGGTGTACAGTTTTTTGCAGTTTGAAATGACCTGCTGGTCCATGGGCTGGAGGAGAACAGTTGTATGAGGAGGCAAAAACTTCACTTTGATGAAGCTCAACTCCCCCACAATTTGCTCTTGCAAATCGTGAGGATGAGCAGGAGCATTGTCCATTACCAGGAGGCACTCGAGTGATAATTTCTTTTCAAGGAGGTAATTTTTCACAGTGGGGCCAAACACACCATAAAACCAGTCCAGGAAAATTTTCTTAGTGACCCATGCCTTACTGTTTGCTCTGCACATCGCACACAAATTACCCTTGACAATATTGTTTTTCTTGAAAACTCTGGGAGTTTCAGAGTGATACATGAGTAAAGGCTTCACTTTGCAATCCCCACCAGCATTACCACACAACATTACTGTTAGCCTGTCTTTCATAGGCTTATGTCCTGGGAGTGACTTTTCCTCCTAAGTAATGTAGGTGTAACGTGTCTATGTACTCCTTAACCCTTTGGGGGTTGACAGGTCCTCTCAGAGACTTGTTCTCAGGGTCCCACAAATTTCAAAAAAAAAAAAAAAAATTATTTTTTCTCATGAAAAGATAAAGAATATTTTCCTGATCATAATGACACCAAAAGTATGAAATTTGATGGAAAACTTAGGGAATTATGCTCTCGCGAAGTTAGCGGTCTCGATGATGTTTACGCATCGGCCATTTTGCCCACTTTGAGCCCTATTTTCGGCCAATTCCAGTGTACTAGTCGACAAAAATCATAACTATTTCACTAGAACTCCATTTTTTCTCTCGAATGAGTACAAGAAACCACCCATTTACCGATTTCAACTATCCAATAAAGTGGTCAGAATTTAGCAATTTTGCCAATTTCACACAAATTTCAAGAGATGCCAATTTCCAAATAGGGTCCAGAATAAACAAGAAAGACATTCCTGGCACGAAAATAACATGTTCTCTGTTCATTAGTCACATCCCCAGGCCCCTCTTATATTTCTTTGGCTTTCCACTTTGAATTTTTATTCTTACAAAAAAAAATAAGATTTACTGTTATGCATACTACTGTATTAGTGTAGAAATGGTATAAATAACATCAGCGCACTTGTGAAAGAATATTAGACTCACCAGTTGATGTGTATTGGACGCTTGGCATGATTTGTTTACTTTTGAACTTCGGTAAAAATCGAACATTTCTGCTACTTTGAGCTCAATTTCAAGGTACTTTTCATTGTAAAACCAGTCAAAATCATCTCAATTTCTGTAATATGTCTTCCATTCTATAAAATGAGACCAAGAAAACTAGAATACAACAATAAATACCATACAAAAATAGTGTGAAGTCGCTGTTTTATTCCAAAAACACGGTCAAAGTTTTTTTTCTTTCTCATTACGTACTGTGTGCTGCAGGATTTTTTTTATACTGCGCACACTGACCACATAGATCCATTCTTACATATGTAGGCCTACCAGCTTTCTCTCACTAGATTTGAGGGCGCTAGAATTTGGGTCATAAGATATACTAGTACGTCTAAAACCCCCAAAGGGCTAAAGTCCTGCACATATCTTTCAGCTGTTTTTTTTTGTCAGAACTGGTAGCCTCACCATGCCTTATCATACTGTATGCCACTATGATTCTTAAATCTCTCAAACCAGCCTTTGCTGGCCTTAAATTCATCAACAGCAGCACTATTTGGAGGCGTTTTCTTAATGAGATCATCATGCAACTGCCTTACCTTTTCACACATAATTGACCAAGACGCACTATCTCCAGATAATTGTTTTTCGTTTATCTACACCAACAACAGTCTGTCCACCTCTTCAATTATTTGCGTTCTCCGTTTTGAAAACATACTAGCACCTTTAGCAACAACAGCTTCCTTGATTGCCTTTCTGTTCGCCCAGATAATAGTGATGGTTGAATGGTGTTTGTTATATAGCCTTTCCAACTTGGATATATGCGCTCCACTTTCATATTTTTCAATTATCTCTTTCTTCAGTTCCATTGTGATTCTCACCCTTTTTACCACAGGGTTGGCACTAGAAGCTTTCTTGGGGCCCATGGTGGCTTATTTAGCGGTTATAAGCACTAAAAACAATAGATTACAAAATGTATCACAGATACACGTGGAATCGTCCTCCCTGGCTTGTAAACAATGGTACACTGGCTATACACGGGGTCTTGGAGCGCCGTTAGTCGATTTTGGCTTTAGTCGATGCCGCTGTTGGTTGAGGGTCCACTGTATATCATCTCAAAATAATATATAATATCTATTTCTACAAGTACATGTACAAGGTATACATGCCTAGCTGACATCAATGACATACTACTATATAGCTAGTCGCTTGTTATGCAGAGTATTTTGGGCAAATTAGGTTAATTTTGTCCCAGGATGTGACCCACACCAGTCGATTAATACCCAAGTACGTACCCATTTTTAGTGATGGATGAACATGGACCACCAGTGTAAGGAAACACACTTTGCCGAGAATTGAACCTGGACCCTCACTGCGTGAAGTGAGCTTTCGCCACCAGGCCACAGGCCATACAGTGGTCTGTGTTCTGGTATTTCTGCCTTTTATTTTAGCTATCCACTGTTACGGATAACTTACTAAGCTAAAGATCATAAAATTCACTAATTAAACTATTAAAAAATTTACATACAGACCCAGTTGCCTACCTTGACACAAGTTGATACATTCTAGCAAGGTCTTCATTTTTATCATCATTGAGAAGATGCTGGAATTCATTATGGAATATCTCTAAGTGTTTCTCAATTAAGACTTTCTCGCAGGTTTTACCAAGTTTTTCTAACGTCGTTTCATGCAGGTAGACCTGCACTCTTCGCTGCTCTTCTAGAAGTCTTGTCTCCGCCTGTTAAAATAAAATTCGACATTCTTTCTTAATATTAGCCATTTCCTGGGGAAGAAAAAAGGTGGCCAAAAGGAGGATTTTATTTAATTATAAATGAAATGTGTATATTTAATATGAGTAAAACTTTATGTACTGATTATATACACTTATGATACACAAAGAAATGAGCAGCAATCCTGCCTGAGTGTAAAACTAAGCTTCTGTCACATACTCCTGTTACAAAATGCTAGCACCTCCCTTGAAGAAACAAATAACAATGGTTGAAAAGTCACTAATAAAATTGTACACTTCTTTTGGCAGCCACAATGGATGATAAGCAGCATTGGCTAGCTTTTTTTTTTTAAAACTGTCAGCTATAGTAAGAGAAACACTAAAAGGTCTACGATCATGCATTGAGGCATTTTGTTTTTTTTTTTATTTTCGCTAAGACAGGATTTTTTTTTTGTTTGGTCAACAGCCATTCTGTGATTTTTGTTTGAAACTGAAATATTCATTTCTCTGCTTTTCCTGTTCCAGTATACAGTGGACCCCCGCATAGCGACCTTAATCCGTGCAAGAGGGCTGGCTGTTATGCGAAATGTTCGGTATGCGAATGAATTTTCCCCATAAGAAATAATGGAAATCAAATTAATCCGTGCAAGACACCCAAAAGTATGAAAAAAAAAATTTTACCACATGAAATATACATTTTCCTACACACAAAGAGAAGGATACATGCACAATAGTAGAGTAGTACATGCACAATATATATTGTGCATGTACTACTCTACTAAATGAAGAATAAATGACACTTACCTTTATTGAAGATGCAGCAATGACTGATGAGACACTGTCCTGGGAGTGCCTTTTCCTCCTGAGTACTGTAGGTCCTGTTTGGTATTTTCTTCCAGAACAGGCCTTATCACACTGTGTATGCCACTACGATTCTTAAATCTCTCAAACCAACCTTTGCTGGCTCTAAATTCACCAATATGAGCACTAGTTCCAGGCATTTTCCCTGTTCACCTGGGTGTTAGTCGACTGGTGTGGGTTGCATCCTGGGAGACAAGATTAAGGACCCCAATGGAAATAAGTTAGACAGTCTTCGATGACGCACTGACTTTTTTGGGTTATCCTGGGTGGCAAATCCTCTGGGGTTAATTGTTTCTTGGTATTCTCAATAAGCCACACCAACAACGGTGGTACAGCAGCAGCAGCAGCTGACGGTGGTACAGCAGCAACAGACGATGCTACAGCAGCAACAGACGATGCTACAGCAGCAGCAGACGATGCTACAGCAGCAACTGACGATGTTACAGCAGCAGCAGACGATGCTACAGCAGCAGCAGACGATGCTACAGCAGCAGCAGACGATGCTACAGCAGCAGCAGACGATGCTACAGCAGCAGCAGACGATGCTACAGCAGCAGCAGACGATGCTACAGCAGCAGCAGACGATGCTACAGCAGCAGCAGACGATGCTACAGCAGCAGCAGACGATGCTACAGCAGCAGCAGACGATGCTACAGCAGCAGCAGACGGTACTACAGCAGCAGCAGCAGCTGACGGTGGTACAGCAGCAGCAGCTGACAGTGCAGCAGCAGCTGACAGTGCAGCAGCAGCTGACGGTGGTACAGCAGCAGCAGCAGCTGTACCACCAATAGTAGCGATGGTTGATTGGGGTTTATTATACAACCTGGCCAGCTCGGAGACACGCACTCCACTTTCATACTTATCAATGATCTTTTTCTTCATCTCCATAGTAATTCTCACCCTTATTGCTGTAGGGTTGGCACTAGAAGCTTTCTTGGGGCCCATGGTCACTTATTTTCCAGAAAAAATCACCAAAAACACTGTAATAATACGAAATGTTCCGATTGTATGCTTGGATGTTACCGCGGAGGCTGGCTGGTAAACAATGCCACCGGCGGAACATGTGAGCGTGGCTCAGGCCGCACATTGGACGCGTCTCGGACGAAGGGCGGTGAGTGGGTTTTTGGGCGGTATGCGAGGCAAAATTTTTGCGATCAAAGCGTCCGGTATGCGGATTGTACGGTATGCGATGCGTCCGGTATGCGGGGGTCCACTGTACTTACTGATGTTTTATGAATAATCAGCTCCATGCATACATTGAGCAATGTATTTTGGAAAATTGGTGGAAACCAAATTTTGTTTTCCTTTTAATGCCATAGTGACTGTCATGATTAAAGTTGCAAGGCATAACCTTCCACTCAAGAGGCTATATTGACTAGGTATGTAGTTTGTGCTTTTTCCCTGAAGTTAGCAAGTTAACTATTTACCATTCTCTCCAAGATTTTTTATGAATGATGCTCGTGCTATAGGTCTGAAATTTTTGACCATTATTCATTTGTGAAGATGAGGTGTATGCACATTTCTGGGCCTTCAAAATTTCATCCGAATCAAAGTTCTTTCTTCAGAGTACAAGCTGTTAGCATTGGTGCCATTTTTCATTTCTTCATAAAGTATCCCAAGAACTGGACCCAGATGCTGAATGTACAGGCATGATGGCAACATCACTTCCGAAGAATTTGGGAGTTGTGCAAATTTTTAATTAATACCCTTGCCATCTCCCACCAAGGCAGGTTGACCTCTAAAAAGAAACACTTTCACCATCATTCACATTATCACTGTCTTGAAAGGCATGCAGATACAACAGTTCAAATGTCCCTCTAAACAGCAAATATATCAAATATAATAAAATGGAAGGGTATGGTTTTTCTACTCTATTGGAGTAAACAAAAGGTTCTTTCCCATGTATCTATTATACATACCCATTTGGTGGCTTTCACCTATTATTCCACTAAAGTCAACTGTTTTATGTATTGTGATAAATACTCCTTACAAAGTATTACTAAAGCAAATTCTGATAGTGCTTGCCTAAAAAGAAACAAAATAAAAGAGAAAGTTAAAGTTTTCAGTTCATCACTCAAGAAGTTTACCAACTAATGACGAACAGAAAACCAAGCAATGAATCAGCAAGCTGTGAAACTGAAAAGTTTAACTAGCTATTTCTGAAATACATGAATATGTCAAAACTTACTTTTTTCATGTATTCCGTAACGGGGTTGTTTCGAAGGAACTCTGTGCTTTCACGGGTGTAGAAACGTTCTGTGTCTTCCAAGAAAGTGTTCTCAAAGGATTCTCTATAAACAGACAAATTCTGGCCTCTAGCACTTGGCTCATCCTCATTTAAACCTAAAAAAGAAAAAAGGAAAAAAAAAAAAAATATTGGAGGGAGTCAAATCCTCAGTCTTCTAACCATGCAGGGTAAAATAAAAACAAAAACTACTGTATTTCTTATATCCTATTTCTTATGTTATAACTTTAGCCACACACAATAATTCTTATTGCTTTACTGTGTAAGAGAAATTCCTTAATTCTGAAATACAATGACTCGGATCAGTAATAACTGTAAAAACCATGGAACTATGGTATATATACAACTAAATGACAAGGAGAAATTAATGCAATAATGTTAGCTTAAACAAAAATAATTCTGTATATAATAACAGAAAAAGTAGGCCTTAGACAAGTATGCACGATGTCACCATGGGTGCTCAATATTTTTATTGAAGGGGTTGAAAGAAGTGAATGCTCAGGTGTTGGTAAGAGGTGTGGGATTAAAGGAGAATGAATAACACAAAGTGGGAGGTGTCAGAGTTGCTTTTTTGCGAGAAAACTTGCTTTTGGAGAATTTAAGAGAATTGCAAGGCGGTGGAAAAGTTTATAAAGAATAAAAAAAAAAGGGAAATTTTTAAAGTAAAAATGGGAAAAAGGCAAGTGAAAGGAAAAAAATTTAAGTAAGAAAGTTTGGGATACAGACTGGAGAGGGGGGTCAATGATTCAAATGTATGAGAGTGGTTTTGTCACAAGGGTTTTGAAAGACGGGGGGAAATCAGAGAATTGATAAAGGGGGGGGGGGGGGGGAGGGGAATGGTGCACTGAGGAGTCTGGAGCAATGTTTTTTGGAAAAAAAGAGGAAATGTTTGAGAGAAAAGTGGTACCAACACTTTTAAAGGGGGTTAGGGCGGGGTGGTGAATTTTGCAAAAAGGAGAAGGTGGGGGTAGGAAGATGTCGAGTTGGGGGGTAATGTTAGGTTAATGTAGGCGAGAATTTTTTGCTTAGAGATTGGTGGGGGTGGGGGGTTTCTAAAAGTATAATCTAAGGGTTGGAGAGGTTGTCAAAAATTTCAGGGATGGAACAAAATAAAGACAGGGGAAAGGGAAATGCATGGTACGGCTGTCCAGAAAAGGTTGGGGGAAAGGGGGTAAAGAAGGTTTTGTGTGTAAGGGGCTTGGATTCCAGCAAGCATGTGGAGGTTTTTAGAATCCATGGAGAAAAGGGTTTTTTTTCGATCTGGTACTGTTGGAGTGTGGCAAGAAAATTTTTGAAGGGATTAGGGAAACCCTAGGCCAGGCTCGATCCTGGAGGGGGGGAAGAAAAGTTTGACTCTGAAGGAGGGGTTTTGTTGTTGCAGTTTTTTGCAGTGGGCATGTGTCCCTTGCAAAAAGGGGGAAAAGGGAAAAAAGTTTCTTCCTTTTCGGTCCCCTGCCTCGGTGGGAAAGGGCTGTGTTAAAAAAAAAAAAAAAAATCTTCCATGGGAAGTGGGGAAAACCCTTTCCCCTCCAAAGCCAGAAGGGCCGAGAGCCACTTGCCTTAGGGGAAACGGCCATTTTTGTAGAAACAAATGATTATTTTTTTAAAATAGAGTGGACCTTGACTTACGAGGCCCCAATTTACATTTTTTTCCGAGTTAAAGCCTTTGCTCTATCGTTTTTTTGTTGATTTCGACCCAAAAATCCGAGTCAAGCTACTTTAGATATCCACCATTTGCGGGGGAGGGAAATCAAAAACCTTGTAATAACCAATTGCAACATCCTTTTTAATTTTTATACTACTGGTATGTCATCCGCCCAAAAAGTTCTATAACGTATGCCCCAAGAGAGAGAAAATCGGAACTGTTAATACATGTTCAGCAGGCCGGGGCTGGCCAATTATCTTTTGGTGTTTATCTCTGAATCTCCTGCCCTGTCCCGACAGTGCTTTCTATGCTTTAAGATATAAGCAAATTAGCATACTGGGAAGCAAAACACATTTTCACTTGTTCAGGAATAATGGACCAACTCTCATCGTTGTAATATTACCTATGGTTCCGAGCGGCTCTGCTGGGAAAGTAAGTAGAAACACGCAACAGAAAAACAGGCAGACAGATAACACAGAGTTAACAGACACAAAAACAGATACACATTTTTTTGTAACAGTGAAAAATAAATCCAAGGCAAGCACATCATCAAATGTCCTCCACTGCCCGTGGAGTGACACTCACTTAACCAGCTTCAAGGGTTCATATAACTTTGCATTTCCCAAAACTGCTGGGGCTTGGCGCAAAAAAAAAAAAAAAAAAAATCATTACATATACATTTTTATTTAAAAAAAAAAAAACAAAAAAAAAACTGGGGTGTTTTTTTTTTCAGGGTGGAATGGATTTAATGGCATTTCAATTGATTTTATATACAGTGGTCCCCCATAATCGTCTGGCCTGAAAATATCCATTTTGGAAATAGTCCCGTTTTTTTGTCTAAATAGGTCGCAAATGGGCCCGGGAAACCCCTAATAGTCCTTCGTCCCGGGCCGTCTCACGCTCTGAGCCCCTGGCCTTTCCTTCCCGCCATGTGCCATTTTTTATAGTGAGCGACGGCCCTCACGTGCCCCCCGCGAAATTTTTTCATTTCCATTTTTTTATGCTTTCAAGTTATTTAAATGCTAAAAAGCTACCAGGCTCCAAAAAAAGCTCCAGTGCCAAGCCCTTTGGGGAAAGAAGGTGGAAATACATTGAATTTAAAGAAAAACTCATTGAACAATATAAGTGGCGTCGTTGGGAACTGGCCAGGATGTATAACAAATCCGTAACAAACCCTACTTCCACATAGCCCCGAAAAAAGGGAAAACAAGGTTTCTGTTGTTGCAAAGGGGTAAATATGCTGACAAAAAAAGAATCACCCGTACCAAAGATGTTTAGAGTTTTTATTGGTGTGGATAAAGAAACAAATTAAGGGGATAGTCTTTTGATGTCCCCTTTTTTTGGAAAAGGCTAAGCATTGCATGACGTTTGGGAAAGAAAATTGCCCGTAGTAGTGGTGATGTGAGTGAATTTTAAAGGCCCGCAAAGGGTGGTTTGAAGGGTTTTAAAAAGTTTTTGGATACACAGTGTGGTAAAGGGATGGGGGGCTGCTAGTTCGGACCACAAGCGGGTGAAAAATGTGCATGAAATTCAAGGGACAAAACAGTGAAGGACTGAAAAATGAACAAATGTTCAATTGGATGAAAAAAGCCTCTTTTGGAAGAAAATGCCCAAAAAGGGAACCCAATTACTCAGGGAAGAAAAGGGGGCTGCCAGGGGCACAAGCCTATGAAAAAACAGGGGTGACACTAAAATTCTGTGCTAATGTAGTGGGGATTTCAAAGTGAAGCCGTTACTAGTGTACCATTCTGAAAATCCCAGTGTGTTCAAGAAAAACAATAAGTGGACCCCCGCATAACGTTTAAACCTCCAAATGCGACCAATTATGTAAGTGTATTTATGTAAGTGGTTTGTACGTGTATGTTTGGGGGTCTGAAAGGAATAATTCTTCACAATATTCCTTATGGAATAAATTCGGTTTAGTACTGGCACCTGAACTACTTATGGAGTGAAAAAATATCGTTAACCGGGGTCCCCTGTATTAAAGAAGAGTAAATTGTGTGTGTTTTGGAGATTTTAATAGTAAGGCATGGGTCACAAGGGACATTTTCGTCGAGTGGTTTCAATGAAGTGTTTGGCCCTAGTGTGAAGAATTACCTCTTGGAAAAGAAATTGGATCTCAAGTGCCTCCCGTAATGGACAATGACCTGCTCATCCTCCAAACTTGGATGACCTAATTCTGAAGGAGTTTGGGTTCACCACAGTAAAGTTCTTGCCCCGAATAAACCCCTCCTCTCCTCCAGCCCATGGACCAGCAAGTCATTTTTAAACTTCAAAAACTCTACAAACCCAAAGCAATGTTTGAAAGGTGCTTTAATGGACCTCAGACACTCCCCTTGACCCTACCAGATTTTTGGAAAGAACACTTCAGTATTCTCCATTGCGTACGCCTTATAGGTAAGGCTTGGGAGGGAGTGACTACCAGGACTTTGAACTCTGCTTGGAGAAAATTGTGGCCAGATTGTGTCCACAAGAGGGATTTTGAAGGGTTTGAGGCAGCCCCTGATGAGCCTATGTCAGTTGAAAACTCTATTGTCACACTGGGGAGTTCCATGGGGTTGGATGTGAGTTTGGAGGATGTGGAAGAGTTGGTGGAGGACCACAACGAAGAGCTAACCACTGAGGAGCTGCAAGAGCTTCAGCAGGAAGAGCAACAGAACACAGCTCAGAATCTTGCTGCAGAGGAGGAGGAAGAGAGATGGAGGAAGGTGCCTTCTTCAGAAATTAAGGAGATTTTTGAAATGTGGGGTAGGATGGAAAGATTTATGGAGAAACATCACCCAGAGAAGGATGTTGCAAGCCATATCGGCAACTTGTACAGTGACAGAGTCTTGGCCTATTTTAGGCCAGTTTTAAAGAAACGCCAGAAACAGAGCTCTGGACAGTTTTTTTTTTGCGAGACAGGACTCCAGTGACTCTCAAGGTGGTCCTAGTGGCATTAAGAAACTGAGAAGAGAAGTAACCCCAGAAAAGGAATTGGTACCCGAGGTGTTGATGGAAGGGGATTCCCCTTCCAAACAGTAAATCATCTAATCTCCTTCTCCAGTCTTCCATACACAAAGAAGAATCGTCAATAAAGGTAGGTATTATTCTGTTAATGTTTAATTCATCATGTGCCAGTGTATTGTTTATGTACTACATCTATATTTCAGGTAAAAAAATTTTTTGTTTTAATACTTCTGGGTGTCAGGAACGGATTAATTGAATTTACATTATTTCTTATGGGGGAAAATTGATTCGTAAATCGTCCGTTTTGATAATAGTCCCATTTCCAGGAATGGATTATGGACGATAATTGAGGGACCACTGTACGAGCAAATTGAGTTACGAGCTGGATCACAGAGCGAATTAAACTTGCAAGTCAAGGTACCACTGTACAACTGTACAGTCCATTTCTTAAGCAAAAAGATGAGAACTAAGTTGCAACTTTGAAATACCTTTGAAGAGTTTCAA